TTCCGCCCCCCCCCCCCCCCCCCCCCATTTGGGAGAGGCTTGGATTAAGGTGGCAACATGGGAGCTTTAACTCTTGCAGAAGCTGAGGTACCTATTTTGTCTCCTAAATCACTACAGCAATTGGAAGCATTGGCCTAACTCATAGTGAGGTTCAGAGATTTTAAGATGTGTAGTGAATGTCCCAAGCCTTTAAAAGATTAAATGTGCTTGAATTAGTGGCAACTTTCTAGTATTATCAAAGAGAAGGTGTGGCCCTGAGATAAATGTTGGTGGACCTTTGCTCCAGCTTTGACTTATTCCCTCCCCTGAGACTTATAATTCCTGGTGAGAGTTACAGGAAGCAGACAAAGATCAAGTACAGCCAAGAGGAGAGTTAGAGCAGGAAGAACAATCATATTGCCAGATTGTTTCTTGAAACCAAACAAGAACCTCTGAATTAGGGTTGAGAAATTATTGTTCACATTTGAATGCAGAATGTGGAAAATGCCTAATTTTGCATTTTCAAATCAATACTGAAACTGAGTAATTGCCATTTTCCACATTTCACAATGTAGTTTGTCAACTAAATATAGGCATTTTTGTTGATAATCTTGTATTATTGGGTTAAAAATCTATTATAAGGGAAAATGTCAGCAAAATTAGGGACATTAGGCAAAATTGCAGACAAAAAGACATATTTGGTGAAATTGGCACCGTGCATACAACATTATCAAGTTCAGTTAACAAAACCTGACAGATTTACAAAATATTAGAAATTAAGGAAAAACTTTGATCTATGAGTCACTCATATCTCAGCTGTTTATAATAAGTATACTGAGATATTAAGCACTTGCCTTTTCTCCTTTCTCCTCTCCATCCTTTTTTCCTTTGATGTTGTGACTTTTCAGACTGTAAACTAGAAGGCAAGGATTACCTTGTCTTCATTAAGCTCTAAACTGCTTTGGCAATCTTTAATGCAAGAGCAAAAAACAGTATAATAACAGTTGAGTGTGTATCAGTAATTCTTAAAACAAAGCTTTCTTTTAAAATCCAGCTCAAATTTATTTTATTTGCTCATTTTCCTTTACGTGGAAAATCTTTAACTTATTTTCTTTAACTTTCAGAGCAACGATAACTATAGACTGGAACTACCCTTAAGCTGCACCCACAGGATTTTGGATTCGATTAGTTGCCTGCCTCCTCTTGTCTCCACCTATTGTGTATTTCTGAAAGGCAATAAAAAATAGTTTTGGTTACTCTCTGGCTTCTAAGACACAGCTTTAATCCCCTTTGACACCTTTTTAGTATGACTGATAATAAAGCACAGATGACCAGAATGGATCAAAAAAGCATACTTGTTTCTTTTATTGTCATTTGGGCAATCACTTTACTGCTAATCTCCCTGGGTGAGTTCCTCTTTCTATCATTTCAATTTATATAGCTGTCCACAAATACGTGACTCTTCTTGATCTCTTTCTGTAATTTCACCTTTTATTTACAGTTTCCTCTTTAATCCCTGCAAATGTGTTCCCTCTCTCCCCCTTTAATCCCTTCTTTAAAAGGCTTCTTGGCTTTGCTTCAAGCTCTGAAAGCAAATGTTTCTCCTGTAAGTTGAGTCCCATATATTTCCTCAGTGTTATGGTCCAGATCATCTCTCTCTGATTCAGCCAACCTGCATGGCACACAAAGGGCAATAATTTTCTCTTTTGATTCTTAGAACTATTTTATGGCCACTTCTGATGTTAGTTGGGTACCTCCTAAGAAGTCTATAATGAGCAGAAAAGCAAGATGAACATAGAAGTATGTACGTCCTAGACTGGTGGCCCTCTGGTAGAATGTTTGCAGTCCCAGTTAATAAAAGCTAATGAAAGTTGAGCATAAAAACATCTGGCAGCTGTTCTGTTCCTTTGTCATTGAGGGGCACCTGAGATGAGTCAGTAATCAATAAAATTAAGACAAAAATGGCCTTTTAACATTCTTCAATCCTTTGTGCGGATATTGGGTGAACAATTACTCAAACTTCCTCTGGGGGAAGAAGAAATTCTCCAGGCATTTTTCAAGGGCAGAAGATGCTTTTTGACAGCAACACAGTTACGGGAAAAACTCAATGAGAGGAATTCCCTCATGATCTCATCCTGTAAGATTTAATAAAATGTAGGAAGCCAGGAAGAGGGCAGATCCTGGAGCAATTATTGTGCAATGGCTAGCATGCAACTCTTGGTCAAATGTGAGAACAAACCATTTCAATCATGAAAATTTCCGATTTTGTCCCCTTTGTAAGAATTTTTAAAGCAAATTTTGATCAAGTTGAGAAGGAGGAGGAGATTTTTTTTGTCCAGCACTAGTAAATGATGTTTACATAAGAGCTGTGAAATAATTTAAACTTTGTTTCCTAAGGCTGCGATGAGTCAATAGGTACATCTACATTTTAATAGGGGTGATTTCAATATCTGAAAGCTTAATTTTGAAAACATATAGGTTTTATTACCTATATTCAAAATTTATTTCAAATAAATTCAAATTTATTACCAAATTTATACCCTGCCCCCATCCAGAGACACTAAGTATGTCACAGATTATAAAATTATAATCCAACAATCTATTAAAATCCAGTGTTAAGCCAGTTACTACTTAAACTGACAATAAAAACCTTGAAAACCATTATTTTTTACACAAGAATTACTCTGCTTCTCTCTCCCCACCCCCCTTCCTTCCCTGTGCAATCTAAAGAAGCAGAAATGAGCTTCAACACATATTTGCTTTTGTTTTTAAAAATTCAGGTTTAGCTGCCAGATATCGCAATTAGAAACGAGTCTCTGTTGTGGTAGAAATAATTCTTCATGTGTGTTTAGCAGTAGAATTGATGAGCCGTCATCCAGGTTAAAACAGGCTGGCATCTTATTATAGCCTTCCCCAGTTGGGTGCACTCCAGAGAGGTTGGATTTCAATTCTTACAATTCTTTATTAGACTGACCCGGTTTTCCTTTGCTCCATGCATATGAGAAATCTTATTTTTAATAGAAGTTTACACTTCTTTTAACCATAAGAATGGTTGTATTAGGAAAGCAACTATCTTGAATGATAGAAGAATTTGAAACCAGTGTTGCCTCCTGTTGTGGAGAATAAGCACAGTAAATAACAATGTCAGCCCTGTAGATTTAAATGTGATTTTCTGTACCCAAATCACCAACTCATTTTTTTTTAATTGTGTGTTCATATATGTATACACAATACATTTGTTTAAAGAGTTGCTCTTTAAAAATATTTTGTGTTGTAGAAAATGTTGTGAAATTACATGAACAAACCAAGGTGGTAAAGAGGAAGAGAGTCCTTCTCAAACTCTGTTTCTACTTATGTGACAAATTCTCATGTGCTTACATATTTAGAACTCAAATACAATAACTACTGTGAAGCATACATTCAAATTTGTACAGCCATGTTGTTTAATTCTGTAGCATGCAGAGGTAGTATCAATTTCTGCTCTCCTGGGGGTTCATCAAAACACATAATTTGACCATGCCTAAGCTTTTGCATGCAACTGTACTGTATGTAAGGTTTCCAATCTATTGGGATATGTGCTCTGCCACCAAAAAAATATCTGGCATGTTTTGGATATTGTTTCCTATATTTGTTTCTGCACAGACGTAGACCAGAAAGTGACATGGACCTCTTGGATTTTTGAGTACAGTAATGGGAAGCATTAATGTTGAATGAGTCTGTTGAAAGGTTTGTTATTACTTGATAAGCACATTTTCTTGTCATGTTCAGTCAAGTTGATTTAGCTTTTCCATCTATGAAGTTTCATTTTTTTAAATGAAAATTTTTTGAAAGGAAGAGGCCATTATTTTAAGTGTTGCTAAGTAGTGTAATAACAGGTTCCTTTTTGAAGCCCATCACTAGATACATGTGTTAATATAACATGATTGATTTACAAAATAGGCCTTTTAAACAACATGAAACTGTGTACACCATTTAGCTTCTTCTTAGCTATCTTCTGTCCTTACAAGTAAATGCGTGATTTAAAGGTAAATTGCTAGAGCAGAATTAGTTACTGCTCATGGGAACATACCCACTAAGTTATAATCATAAAAGGTTATTGTTACAGTCAAAAAACAACATACATCTGGTCACCACCAAAAAGGATATAAGTGCTGGTAAAGTGCAGAAGAGGGCAACCAAAATAATCAGGGGGACTGAATACCTTCCCTATAAGAAAAGTCTAGAATATCTGAAAATCTTTAGTTTGGATAAAAGGCAACAGAATTTGGGGTAAGGACAGGATTGAGGCATAATAAAATCATGTATGGTACAGTGACAGTGGACAGATATTTTCTTTCCCTTGCAAAATAGTAGGACCAACCAAGGATCTTCTGATTTTGACTAGAAGGCAACCAAGAACAAGCAAAAGAAAGTACTTCTTCAATCAACATGTATTGAATCTATGGATTCATTACTACAAGCAGCAATGGCCACTATCATGTACAGTTTAAGAACGAGTTCCATTCCCAAGATCTGTCCTTAAGTTGATTTTATATGTAAGCTGGAACAGTATTATTGTATAATACTGTATAAGTAATATTGTATAATGAACTCAAACCCTTGTGTATTTAATTTGAATTTTGCTACAATAGGCTCCCTTCTTAACTATGGGTTGCCTGTAACTGGGTGTACTTAACCTGGGAACTACCTGTATTGTTTTAAAAAAGGATAAGATAAATTCACCTGGGTCAGATCATCAATGGCAATTTGTTTTGAAGACTCAATATTATCTCTGGGTTGGGGGCAGAATATTTCCAAATACCAGTTGTAGGAGAAACTAAAATGGGAGATGGGAAGGCCACCATCTCCTGTTTGCAAGCATGATGGGAGGCGCCTTGTTGGCCACCATGAGAAACAAAATGATTGGCCTTGGTCAGGAGCATCAATAGAGTTTTCTGGGCCCAAAGGCAAACATCTCAACGGGAGCCTTCATCTCACTATTAGTCATCTAAATTCGCTGCTGGATGTTAGGTGTTGGTGGGATGTTTTGGGGTGTCTATGGGTTTATTGCCAGCATAGGAGGGAAGGAGTTGTGAACTGAATCTGAATCTGTAGCTTTTTAACTAACATTAAATATAAAATGGTGTTAATGTAAACATTGAAAAGAATACTAAAATGCATCCCTTTAATTGGTTTAAAATCTACAAATGCTGCAAAAATCTCTCATGTTAGGAAGAATACTTTTTAGCAAAATTGTGCAGAATTAACCCTTGCTCCAGAGGTATCAAACTTTGCCAACATTGCTTGCTTTTCCACTATTTTTTCACTAGGTAGCAATTAACTTCCAATACAGATGTCAGGGATAAAACCTATTATATTTAACAGACTGGTCTATAATTTGCTGAATCAGCTCTCCTTTTGTAAAATGAAATCATAATTGCACAGTTCCAACCTTTCAAAATATTTGTCTCAGATGGTTTACGCAAGTAAAAAGAGTCGCTTGAATGGGTGTCCACCCATTTATATTTGTTATTAGCAATTCAAGTGAGACAAGAATCTCCAGTAACTTTTCCTGCTTTCAGTTGTTTTACAAGCTTATTTTAGAAACTACAAATATATACCAACTAAGTAGTTCACCCAAATGTGGCACTGGTTGAGATATGCATTTGGAGCCTATTGCAAGAGGAGGAGGAGGAGGAGGAGGAGTGCCAGTCTTTTGGGTGTCCCCCCCCCGATGAAAGCTTGGGGGGGGAATAAATACAGACATTGTGGCAAAGAGGTCCATTTACTTTCCCTATACATCTAGCAGTTGGTTATAAGCCTTTTTCCCCCTTTATTCATTTTTGATTGAATGAAAGGATGGCTTTATGATTAAGCCTTTGAGGTCTTTTAACATAATCACTGAACAGAAAATTTCACAAAATTTGCAGCTTTATAAGCTACTATTCAGCCTATGCAAAGGAATTTGTACCAACAGGGCATCTGTCATCTTCTTTTAAAGATGTTACTAACTCAAGTCATTTTAACTGAGAACAATGTCAGGATTGGCTGAAAAGAATTTGATTTGTTAAGAAAAACATAGCTCTTGACTAAAGCCTCATTTTCAATGGAGAAACTGAACCCAAGAATGGAGCACAGTGATAGCATCGTGCAAATTGATGGGATTCTAATATATTTATGAGAGCCAGTTTGGTCTAGTGGTTAAGACATCAAGCTAGAAAGCAGGAGACCGTGAATTCTAGTCCCACCTTAGGCACAAAGCCAGCAGGGTGACATTGGGCCAATCACTCTCCCTCAGCCCTAGGAAGCAGGCAAGGGCAAACCACTCCTGAAAAAAACTTGCCAAGAAAACTGCAGGGACTAGTTCAGGCAGTCGCCAGGAGTCAACACTGATTTGAAGG